GTGAATTTACATGTTGGTCATATGTACTTAAATTCGAAATAGCTAGGTGATCATTGAATCACATGGTCCACGATGGCCATATTTGTCACTGTAGACATTGTCGATATTTGACTCAACTTGTACTTGATGTATGGGGGTTGTTTAAAATTAAAGTTTTTGACACTTGACTTTGAGAAAGGATTGTTTGGACGTTTGTGATTCTTACAAAAATGCCAAATATACATTTCAAAACTATAAAAGTTTCAAAAGTGCCTAAAATGCTTAAAATACTAAACGCGCAAGCCTTTCCCAGCCTAAAATAGACACTCAGAAATGTCAAAGGTGTCTTTCAAACGTTTTAAAAATATCTAAAAATCTAGATTTATTTTTGACTGTCATTTTAGTTTTTAAACGTGCACTGCACCATACGGTTACGCGTGTTAGATATGTTAGTCTGGCCATACCTCGTTAGTAGTTCTGAGCCGAACCACAGAAAACTTTACTGATAGTATTTTGCATAAAGCTGATAAAATATCACGTGTTAATTGACGCTGGCTTAGACGTATAACTTATTGTATCCAAACTATCTATGTAGGTTGAAATGTTTAAATATTAGGTTTGGACATTTGGGAAAAGACGGCAGAACGGCTGGGTGAGTGGTCTCGGGCAACAGCCGTAGTAACGTAGCAATGGGTGGCATTAAATAAAGAGCATGCAAGCGCAACTCTAGAAACCGATTGTGTCTGATTATATTACATATGTGAGAACGACAGTGTCTGCGTTATATGGCTGTATGGCACCCCTACAGAAAAAAAAGGCGAGTAATTCTCGATAGTCCCTAGGAGCGACAGGACAGTACGCTACCCACACATATTATCTGTTGATATTGTTACAGCAGTGGAATAGTCTGGTTGTCTGTTTACAATACAGGTGTTAGTTTGATATATGAATGAAGCCATCAGTTGGTTAAATAAAGCACGACAATAACTCGCGTATTACATACTGGCATGTCAGTTTTTTATTACCCATGTGGGCGATATTTTTACATCTTGTGAACTATCGGAGCATGGGCCATGCACCTGTGTGGAGTTTATTGTCCTTCGCTTAGTTAAACGCAACTCATCATAACAGCACACCACCTCACGCAGGCTCTCCTTCACACAGAGCTGTTCATCATAAACACGATAAATGTAGACTGCACTGCATGTTCATATCGTTCAATAGCATGTACATATCCTAATTACGTCCAAAGAATGGCATACAAACGTAGCCTATTTTGAAAACACAATACTTTTTCAACTAAAACATAACAAATATATGTGATCCAATGCTAGTACACGTTTTCAAAAAAATTGTACAACTACAATAACGGTAACCTGCATATTACTTTGTAGTTTCATGCTGACAATCATCCCCGAGCACTTTTTTTTGTTGGAACGCTTTTAACACAGCAATACGTATCGCCTACTATAAGTTAATTCGTCTTTTACCGGTGTTAATGTGTCTGGGCCGAACTAACTGTTTTACTGTGAGCAGATGATGAGATCGTTAATACAACTATCTATGAAATATATATGTTAATGTATTTCTGTATACATGCATACATACATACATACATACATTAATTGGAATGTTCCATTACAACTGAGAAGACGAATTTACTGCACCTGAGTGCGTGTGATACCATAAGATAATACCCATTATTCCAGACATTACCCGGGGCTATATGCGTCCTTGGAATATTAATATTTGAGATTGATGGTGTCGAGAAAAATTATATCAATATCTAATAAAACGATGGTTTCATCGCCTTGTACAAATTACAAAACAGGAGAAATGAAGTAAATAAACAACTTTCATATTTTGTTTTTATTCAAGATAATATCGTGATCAAGGATGCAGTTTGGAAACAAAACAGATTTAATTTCCCCCAAAACATCGTTTACGAGCAGCGGAAAAGAACAAGCTACGACATAATTTGTTTTAAAAGATCGCGATGCATATAAGCAGAGTATCAAACTGGTCACGTCCGCATTCTGAATGATTTATCGCAAAAAAATAATTGTAAAACGATGGTTTCATTACTAGTAATAGCGTTCGGAATTTCTGGTATGTACTGTTAATTTCAAAATGCCTACGCTTTTGAATAATTTTTTTCCACCAAGTGAGTGTGTGTGTGTGTTGCATCCATAACTATTTCCATTCTGATGCAAAGATTTCAGATTAGAAATCCACCACTGGGTATTGGGTGAACCATATAAAAGACCTAGGAAAAAAAGTGAAATTTTGAATGAAGATCCACTATACAATTTATCCAATTGGCGAGCCTTATCCTATGTGTATCATTGCGGGCTCATACAAAAGTACGTAATGGAAATCTGACTTAATGTGTCGGTCCTAGGTCAAACTTGACAATTTCTTTGAACAAACATATAATATCACACGAATTATTCCCGAGAGTGTTTATTATACATGACGTCACGCGTCATGATAATTATGTCAAATTGTAAATATAACCAGTTAGACATCGGCTAAAGATAAGAGTTTACTTTTCTTATCGAGTGAAAGTGCCCTATTTAAACAGCGTTGAGCAATATAACAGGCCGTTAAATGACGTCTCACGGCATTGTTTTATTGGAAATATTTGCTCGGTTTTACCTACCCGATTTCTACGTGGTATTAGTTGCAGCGTGGTAAAATGGGCCTCAGGGTTTGGGAATATGTTCTTTTGGGAAAACGTTACACAATTCAGCATGTGGTAGAACGTATTACAACATTTTATTGAACTACTGGGCATCGTTAAGATGATATGTTCGCTGCCATGCGTTTCTTCGTATCAGTTGTTTCCCCTTTTACTCCTAGCTTACAGTATCACCAACGTCTAAACAAGCGTGATACTGATGCCATAACTCATCCAAGTCACAAATGAATAATTCAGCGACGTCTAGGGTCGTATAACTGCCTAACTGTAAAACGCATTCCCACCCTATTTTTTTTTAATTTCCCTGTTAGATTGTTTTGTTCGCTTCGAACTGTCTCATTTGGCGTCAGCGACGTTAATAATTTCACTGGTGAAGCCAAACGGAAAGCAGGTGATTCTTTTTTTTTCATTTCTAATTGTATATCTGGATTCCATATAATGAGAAGCTTAGTGATGTACGACTAAAACTGAGACCGTCCCCATTCAGTCGTTTTTTTGAAATCGGGGACAACAGCTCTCACGTCAGTATTCATGAGTTCTTTATTTGTTATCGTGTAATTTTTCCGTAAGATAGGTCTGCATAAGAAAACAACACCCATTGACAATCCAGAGGCGATGTGACAGCTTTTAGCAAGCATATTTTAAAGAATTAATTCAGGCGTGAATGTGTTTACATAAACACATAAACGGGGACTCGGAGGTGGTTGGAATTACTAGTATATGTGTGGAAGAGGGTGCAATGAGAGCCGGTGTGACGGTAACGTTTACTTTGCGTGCTTAGAAAATGATGATGTAATGTCCGTTAGTGATTCGTTTTAAATTGGCAAAAACATGAAATTCATTAATTGTTGTACACCACTTATCGTCCCAATGCTAGATATGTCAAGCTATTGGAATTGAATATTTGTCTGCGTTCATGACATGCGTGTTTGGCGTCATAGCCGTGGAATTCTCGGTGTTCTCACAGTTTTTCTGCAATGGCAATAGAGTAATGTGCTTAATATGAACAATAAAAGTAAGCAACCATCGACAATTTATTAATAATAGCAAGTACTACGAATGAATGGCAGATGAATGCGTTCGTAAAACCACAATATGTACGAAAAATATTAAACGTTTGTTAACAATATCACATAGTGACGTAAGTGACAGCTGCTTTTCCGACCTTCCCTCGTACGATAATAAGAGACAGGACCGTTTTCGACTCCCCCTACGATGATACGAGACAAGTCTGTTTTCGACCCTCCTTACGATGACGAATGACAGCTTTCTTTCATAAATCCACATTCGCTTATGATGTTGAAAATAAATGTTTATATAAAATCTCCTTATATCCGAATGTAATAGGCCTAACACATTTAAAGATACTAGAGACGTCCTATTTATTTACATCAAGGCACAAATAATCATCAAAATACTATAATGTATTTTATTGTTATTATTCTGATAATTTATGGGAAAATCTATTTTTATAGTAATTGTTATTTTTATCTCTTAATTGTTTGAAAAACAAGACGGGTTCTATGGACATTTGTGATGCTTAAACTTAAAAGAAAAAAAAAGGGGTGAGCCTAAAGCTGTTTCAACTATTTCCAAATAAATTATTGTCAATCTCAAATTTAATACAAATCTAATAACTTGAGAATTCGGGATTTATTGTATTATTAGAAAGTTTTACATTCGGATTATAGAGGGGGTAAAATGTATTGATGTAATAGACCTTAAAACATGTCACGTGACTCTATCGCTGCAAACGAGATTTTGGCAGCCATTTTTGAATAGGGTATATTAATATTATCTTAAATTTACTCACGAGATTTGCGATCCTCAGTACTTTAATGATCTAGTGTGACTAAAACGTTGCGATGTCATTGAATTCGACAAACTTCAAAACAACGTAATACCATGATAATTTGTCATCATAATAATGTATTATTTCAGTTTTTACCAGGTGCCGTGACTAACTAGAAATTATCGGCATCGTGGGACAAGATGTGAAACGTTGAGATATTAATAGTCCCGGAGGATGCATATTTATGTTGTATATTGCGATGATTAATCACCATTAAATTGTGCCAGTGATTGGTTTAAATAGATACAAGTTCCCTGCTTCCAAGCAGCACCTGCAACGACCGTCATAATACAGTTTGAATCGGCAGACGCTGAGCAGAACGTGTCAGGTCGTATAAACGTCGGACGTCAGTCGAGTTGTTCGCATCCTTCCAGAAACAGTCTATGCTCATTTGGGCAAATCATGGAGCTATCCGCCAATGTTAACGAGAGTTTAATAAACAATTCTTTGCATTATTACATCTCGAACATGAATACGACTGCTAGTTACCATGGAGATGCATGTACACTACCTTTGGAAGCACTGGACATCATCGTAGCCGTTCTCACTATACTAGGAGTGCTCGGGAACGGGGCTTTTCTTTACGTCGTCATTAAGCTACCATATATGCGAACCGACACCAACCTCTACCTATGCGGACTTGCCGTAGCTGATTTGATGTATCTTATCATTAACTCGATCACCATATTCTGTTATTTTGACGACGTCGGAACCTGCCAGAAGTTGAAGAACAACGTCAATTTTATGTGCTCCACCGAGTACATCATTTCTACCAGTTACCTGACGTCTGTTATCACAATAGCGTTGGTCGGCGTGGAGCGTTACCTCGCAATCAGTAGACCGCTGGCTAAAGGATCGCCGGCGAGTCGTCACAGAGGTCACTGCTTCTGGCTTGTCGCCGCGTCGTCATGGTTAATCGCATTAGTGCTGAGCACGCCTGCAGTGGCCGAATGTCTTGATATCGGACATAACGTCTACAAAGTCATCGAAATTCGTTTAGTGATCACCGTCAGTTTATTCTTCCTCATGGTGGTCGTCGTGCTCGTATTCTATCTCCTGATTGCCTTCAAGTTGTACGACTCTGCTCGCAGCGCCATAGCAACGCGACGATCGTCCGGTGAGAACGAGAAACAAGTGATACGGGTCTGCTTACTGACCGCAGTCGTGTTCGTCGTATGCTTGTTACCCTACATGATCCGTCTTGTCGGTGAGTTGTTCATACTTCACGGCGTGATGCCGTACTCGGCCTATACTTATTACTGTATGCGTAACCTTGCCATTCTTCCACTTATCATCAATGCCGTCATTAACCCGGTAGTGTACAGCGTCGCCAGCCGTCGATATCGACGTGCCTTTCACGTCGCGTTCTGCGGATGTGGCAGGGGCAATGTGCGATATCCGGTACGAAGCACTAATGCCGACACGGTGATAGACTCCGGACAGTGGAACTCGGCCAACTCTCGTAGTTCAGGTACGAAGCAGAATCGACGAAACATGATTCCTTTGGCGAAGTTATAACGTTACTTGGCGTGGCGTCAAATACTTGTATATTTCTAACGTCTTTTAATGCGGTGAAATGTTTGTACACAATGCGTTATTTCATCGCGCGACAGGGCGCTTCTGTTCAAATCGAAAACTACGTATAATTGTGTAGTCGTCCTTCTCTTAGAATATAGTAAAACTTTCAAATTATTGACGGACTACAGCTCGACGATGAGAAAGATTTTCGTGTTTCCTATTTATTACGTCACGTTCATTACGTTACTAGGGTTAGACTTTCGTCACGATGTCATACTATATGTATTAATCATCGTATTAATCGCATCTATCACAAATCATCACTTCAAAGTTTGTAATATACTTTCACTGTACATATTTAGGCGTACATTCACCCTATTTGTAACGAAGAAAATGAGCTTGTATGCCAACTACTTTGTAGGGGGTGGCTTGTAGGTACATGGCTATCCGCGGAGGAAATGAAGTTTTTTTATAGACATGATACGGCATATGCGTACGTTATTGTAAGCCCAAGTCCCAAGTCACATCTATCATAATAATCTATCAATATACCTGGAGATTAATGTACTCGTAGGTTATCTTTTAAACATTCGTAACATTGATATATTTCATTGTAACATATGTGAGTTCAAGACATTACTTATATGAGCTATTCAATGTATTATAACACTGTTCGAACGTAGTAATTTGCTTTCTTAATTCGGGGTGGTAGTGGGATATGTACGCATACGATAACGGCTTTGTACTAACCCTTGAAGCGCGTTGCGTGCTTGTGCATATAGGTTATTTCAATTAAGTTTATGATCACCTGTAGAGGGCGTGGTAATAGGTTATTAATTTATGTGTCCCTGACCATCGCGCGTGAAAAAGGTGTTAATTAATCGACCACTAATTAAGGATCATTGGGTATTCGTGAGCATGATGAACAAATTGTGATTAATTGAAGATTTAGTTTGCTTGCCTCATGGCCCTCGCTGGATTTGAGAAAAGGAATTTGAGGTACTTCGTTGGACATTTGGGCGCGACTGGAATTGTCGACAGTATAAATGGCAAAAGGACATCACATTGGAATCGGCTTAATCTCTCGCCATTACCTAGAAATCCGGCTCTACACTGAGTTAGATAAGTAATATATTGGAATCTGTGTAAACAACCCACAATTACAATACATCACGTTTTTGCCGTAAAACAAACTGCCCTCGGCATAACTTTCTATATTATTGCACTTATGTGTACATTCGTGTGCAACTCATAATGGGAACCCACCATTTTCTTTTCTGAATACAGCCAACCACATAGGTATGATGATAGTCTAGTAGCCCGGTCGCCATTTTAATGTCACCCATATCAGGAATGTGACGTCACCTACATATTTTGTTTCACTGTCGACAAGAACGTACACGTTGAATCTTTGTCTTTGGGATTCCCTTGAATAAATACTGACGGTATTCCATAGTAGCTTCCCTTGAGTCCAACTGCCGCCTATTCAACAGCAACTACTCGGTGCTGATTAACATTGCTTTAAGCGATGCATAACTATTTTGATAATGTGGGCTACTTTATGTATTCTATTTAACTGGCGCCTTCTTTGCCTCGCTCTCCGGTATTTTGTACGTTAGCTGGATATTTTATCGCTTGCAACGAAACATTATTGTTATTTTTGGAATCAATATCACTGGCACACTGATCATGTACGACCTGTTCGCCATGGTTTCAGCTTGATCATGGATGACGTGTGCGCTCGTGTCGCCCAGATCATTTATTACATGATCATTGTTTCCTTGACAAATTCATGCGATTAAAACACAGTGAATATGCTCAAAACATCAAATAAGTGAAATTAAATGTCAGTGAAAATAAATGCCTTTACAGTATATATAGCGTCGCAATTAAGTGACTGACAGCTTAAACCAAACCACCGAATTGGATGACATGAACTCGTGGATTATATTGGTTCGTATGTCTGAGATAGCGGACTACATATCTAACAATTCGTCCAAACAATGTCTTGGAACAGACGAGATCACCTATATATCATGCTGAATGGTGGTGTTATTGCGACTTGATAGCGGTAATGGGTCATAAGTCATATCGACGGTGCCATTAGCTTTGAGTCAGACTGCTAAGGGGAGCATTAATGTTATACCTGCTTGCACATTCTCTGTATGAGTGATTCTGCGTACATCTCGCACCCCTGGCGACTCACCTCCGCCTCGGCAGCAACCAACACACTTTACTCCAAGAATAAATATGTGATTTCACTTTTTGTCAATTAAATAAATTAGTAAACAATCTATTCATAAAGGTCATGTAATATATGTTTATAAAGTCTACTCTGAACATGCAAGCTGTTGATCCTAAATCTCGTGTAATATCGTGTGAACCAAATTGTGATAGTGAATTCATCTTTACAAGTATTGGAAGAAAAAACATCTATGTCTGTGACATAAATGTAGTAATGTTTAAAGGGGAACCGCTCAATCCCATGGATTGCACCCAGAATCATGGGACACTATTGTTTATGTTGTTTACAATGTTAATCTAGCTTTTGTTATCCATTGTTATTTTAATCCAGAAAGTAAATTTGTTGTGAAATTAAGCTTAACTGGAAGATGCCCCTTTAACATTTTAAATATAGCAATGTTTTGCATGCATTCAGGGTGGAAATCTGATAAATGTTGACGCAGTTCATGTAATTATATAGTAAGGTTTGGTAAAAATAAACGCATTTCCTATAATGTAAATCAAGCAATGTTTTCTGATTTTTTGTTAAAGGGCGGTGGTCGTCACGCTGCGCACGTGCGACATTTGTGTTGATAAACATTGATTTTCCCACAATACAATTTCGCTCTTCTAATGGAAATCACAAGTACGAGGTTTGACCTGGGCGCGAGGGGGGGGGGCGCACTAATTACTGCCGGTGACTCCTTCGATACCTTTAAATCACCTAAAAATACTTAATTAAAGCTTGGCAACGTCTTAGTTTGTACTCGTTAATCTGCGCTACAGTCAAAGTCGCCATCTTTGTTTATATGAAACCTATATATCTCGCGCGTGCGTGGCGTGACGACTACCACCTTTAATGTTAATAATCATCGAGCTAAGATACGGGAAGACTTCATAATAATAATCGACATTTTAATCCTGTGTATTTATTTCAAAACTAGGATCCTGAGCGCAGTAACTCTAGATCAATGAGATTTTAATTTCGACCAATGAAAACGTACGACTGCTAATTTGAGTTTTTCTCAATCCCACGAACATCAGGTACTACAAATAAAGTTATTAAAAGGAAAATTTGATTTATCAATCAATCAATCATACGCACATGCACTAAGTTCTTATAATTTCATTGCCCACTCAACACATTGCGAAAACACCTTGAAGGTTCACTCTTCTCGTAAAATACGAGTCAACCATCCCTATACAAAATAACATGTATTGATAAATAGATATCCCATCTACATCAACAGTGCTTGTCAATAGTGATGTTGTACCTCTCAGTGCAATCAGTATTCGGAAAATAAATAGTTTAGGACCTACCGATTCCAAGTGAGTGACGATGTCTCACGCTGGGACTGCCCGGCGGTTCGTAATATATATAACGTAGTAAATGTTCCTCGTATTACCATTAACATATTGCAACTCATGCAACTGACATTTAATCGTTATACATATTTTAACCGAGATATTAACACAATAATATACCAGCCTAATGTATCTCCAATGTATCATTTGTTTATGGGGCAAACTCTTCACGACTGTATAAGAACTCAAATGGTGACGTCGAATATATGCTAGAACTTGCTACGACTATTATTACACGTAGGTGCCACGTGATCGTATTGTGCAATTTATAACTGTTCCTAATGGGGTGCGAGTGTGAATCACATGCATCGGCTCACCTAATTCACTTTCACCGACCAAAGTAGTTCGTATAAAACCGAAAACAGAAATATCACGTATAGGCGTCGTTTATCAACGAAATCGACAACAACAATATATTAGAGAGCTGTTTTCAAAGTCAATGTCGATTGTTTGTCATTGGCAATGCAACAATCACGAACAGCGTCGCGAAAATGTGAATCCCTTTCGATTTCGTGTCAATGTCGCGGTGGCGACGGGTGTCTGCTTTTAGTAGAATGTGTCGTTTATTTGTTCAAGCCTATGATTGCCTTCGTAAATCAAAAAAAACGCATAACGAGGTGCCTATTGCGCCGCGGCGTTGAAAATAAACTCGGACGAATGGGAATATATAAGCAGCTGACAACGCCTCTTCCCTATAATGTCATATTTTGCGTATAACCCGATTTACATCGTCTATAGAGCGGATTGTATGCGATACAGGACCAGGCATATGTATTCTGAATAAATATTGAAATAATACAAAATAACAAATCGAATCGTTGTCATTTATTTCCAGTACTGTCGGTGATATCAACTCATAATTCAGTCCTGGTGCGTACATTATTCTTTTATAAAAGGATAAAACCAAGGCACATAGCAACTGAAAAAAGATGAGACATATGTGTATACACTGTACTATGTACACCGGACAAGGCGTGTCATTCGATGGTGATTAACGGCACGCATACAGATCATCAATATGCATTAATAATGGCAATCCTTTCATAACTAGTCATTTATAAACAGTGGCAATGCCCAGACTCACACGTGTATACGCACTCGTGTTTTTCACACGTGTTGTTCTGATTGACGGCCACACATACCGTCCGATCATCTTTGTATCAAGTCCCGCTAATCACTAATGACTCTTGCTTAGTCGTACATTCCCTTTTTCTTCATAACCCTTTCCACGCCTGAGCTCTCTCACTTTCTGTTTCTTCATTGTCATCTTCATATTCATCTTTCCTTGTAGAAACAATCCATCTATCTTTATCGTGACCTGCGAAGCGCAGCTGGTGGCTTGCCTTAATTCCCTCATTGTCCCTACTAGCATGAGTACTCCCAGTATGGTTGCACATCGATCAATTGCGAGA